GATACTGAGTCACCGACCGATGTCCGCGCGCTGAGCCGACCAACGCCGCGTGATTCATCCCAGAACCGCCATGCCGGGATCAGGACCCGCTCGTACACACTCCTGGCTCGCCTGGCTCCTCTCATGCCGGATGCGGGTGGAGCTCGCGGGGCAGCGCTCCATCGGCGGCGTTCCCTGAGTCCGGCGGAGGCGCGGGGATGCCTGCGCTCGGCGTCTGGACCCCCCGGATGCTCAGCGGACACGAGCGCGCGGCCCATCCTTGCAGCCTCGACGAGCTGCCTGGTGTGTGGCTTCCGAGAAATTTGTCCATTTCTTCAAGACTGATGAATTTACATGCATAAAACTAGTATTTCCTTAATGTCCTTCTAATGTCTATAGGGTCTCTAGCAGTGGTTCCCTTTCATTCCTGATGTAACGGTGCCTCCCTTCCCGGGTCAGTCTGGCTCGGGCTCATCAAGTGGACTGAGCTTCCCAAATAACTCTTTTTGCTGTCTTTGATTTTTTTCTTTCACGTTTTTGTCTTCATTGATTTCTGCTATGATTTCCTTTGTTCTCATTATTTTGGATTTAATTTGCCCTTTTTCTAATTAATTAAGGTGAAAGTTTGGCTTATCGATTAGAAAGTTCCCTTTTAAAAAAAATAAGCGTTTAGTATTATGGATTTCTCTTTGAGGAAAAAAAGCGGTACTTCAGCTGCAGACCACAAACGTTCATGTGTTCATGCTCGTTCAGCTTAAAATATTTTCTAATTTCTCTGGAATTCCTTTTCCCCCCGTAACTGTTTGTATCTGTGCATCTTTCAGAGATCGGTCATTGATTTCCAGAGTCATTACATGGTGGTCTGAGATCCCATTTTGTAGGATTTCAGTTTTTCCTTAATTTGTTCAGGTGGCCGGCACGGCCCAGGACACGGTGCACACTGGCGTGTCCCGCGTCACGTGACGAGAAGGTGTGCTCTGCTGTGGGCGACTCGGCCCGGCCGGTCTGTACCCTGGAGAGGCTGGCTGCGTGTCTAGCCTCCGAGAGACGGTCAGTCCTTTGGTTCTGCCGGGTTTTGCTTCCTGAGTGTTGAAGTCCCGTGGTTTGGGGATACGCAGCTTGGGCTGCAGTGCCTGCCTTTGTCACGTAACGTCCCCCATCTCTGGCGATATGCGTCTTGAAGTCCGCGCTGTCTGGTGCTGACATGACCACGCCAGCTTTCCCGTGATACGTGTCTCCGAGAGGTATTTTCCCCATCTTTCTCTTTTTTACCTGCCTTTACATTAAAGTGGGTTTCTCTGAGATACCATAATCAGGCTTTTTCATTTTCATTCCTGTCTGGCAACGTCTTCACTTGGTGTGTTCGGACCGTTCGTGGTTAGTGTAGATGTTATGAACTGAAGTTAGATCTACCCGTTTATCTCTCTGTTTGTGCCTCTGTTTTCCCTTTCCGGCCTTTCCCCGGAGTGCTTGAAAATCCTGCTACTGCACTTGACCTTCGCTCTCTCTGGCTGCGTGTGTGCACGTGTGTGTCTGGTCGCGCGAGGGGCTCGGCCGCGCACCCCGCCTCCCGCGGGGATCCGGAGTTAACTAGACGCTCTGCGCCTCCCGTCGCGTCGCCGTGGGCCTCCGCAAGTGTTGGGATTTTTGCTTTCGACAGTCACGTGTATGTTTAAGAACGAGACGGAAAACGACCTCTTCTGCGTACTCGGACATTGACCGTTTCTGCTGCTCTTCACCCGTTCCCGAAGACACACATGTCCCTGTGGTGTCGCTTCCTGGTGGCCCGAAAAGCGTCTCTGGCAGCTCCCTCTGGAGCCCGTCTGCACAACCGCCTCTTACTTGCCCTTCGCCCAGGAGTGTCTCCGTCTTTCCTTCCTTCCCAAAGCATGTTTGGACGACACTGAACTCTGGGCTGACCGCCGGCTGCCAGCACGCTCCAGACCCTGCTCCCCATCTTCTGGCCTCTGTGGTTTCTGATCCCAACTGCTTGTTCGGATCGTTGGTCCTCTGGACAGCTTTCATTTCCACCTAGAGCCTTCTAGATTCTTTTTCTTTGCCTTCAACTTTTTACCAGTTTAGTTACATGTCTGGGCACAGCTTTCTTTGGATTTGCCCCATTGTGTGTGTGTGTGGGGGGGTCACTGCAATTCGTACATCTGTAAGTTGAAGTCTTTCCTCAAATGCGAGAAATTTTCAGTCAATCTTTCTCCATTTTCCCCCCCGCTATCATGTTTCTCCTCTCTTGGGATTTTTTTTTTTTTTAAGATTTTATTTATTTATTTGACAGAGAGACACAGCGAGAGAGGGAACACAAGCAGGGGGAGTGGGAGAGGGAGAAGCAGGCTCCCCACCGAGCAGGGAGCCCTGTGCGGAACTTGATCCCAGGACCCTGAAATCATGACTTGAGCTGAAGGCAGACACTTAACAACTGAGCCCCCCAGGCGCCCCCCTCTCAGGATTCTAATAACATAATGTTGGACCTTCTCATCCTGTCTCACCGGTCCCTGCGGCACGGATGAGCCCCCACTCTTCTGTCTCTTCTCCAGACCCGACGATGTCTGCTGGCTGATCGATCGCCCAGCTCACACGGGCTTTCCCGGACACCTCCTCTCTGCGATGGAGCTTGTTAATTTTTTGGACTTTCAGTGTATTTTCTGGTTCTGAAATATGCATTTTGCTCTTGTGTCTTCTCCGCTCCCCAGCTAAGATTTTCCGTCTGTTTCCAGCGTGTTTAACTTGACCTCCTGGGATGTAGTTGCTGTCCTTGCTTTCATGTGTTTGAAAATTCAACCACCTGGATCTGAGCTGGTATCTGCGACTGTCTTTCCCCTGGGAAACTGGTCACAGATACCAGCTTTGTATGGTGAGTGACTGGGGGTTGTAGATCCGGCATCCGGGCTGCCGTGTCGACTCCAGGTCTGTCATGATCCTCAAAGGGATTTTTGTCCAGCAGCCCGTCAGCCTGGCTGGCTCAGACCACAGGTTGTGCCGACCTCCAGTGGCCACTGTGAGCTTCGAGTGTTCTTGTGCATGTGGATGGGGCAGCAGGTATCCCTCCTGAGTTTGTGGCCAGTGAGTGACCGTGAAGAGCTGACACCACCAGAAGCCCATGTGTTGTCAGGACAATGCCCCACACCCTGCCTCATGTCCCCCAGTTTTCTCCCTGGGTACGGCAGGGTTTCAGGGAGACCCTATGGGGGTGGCCGTAAGTGGGGAGGGGGCACATGCCTCCTCAGGGCAGGGCACACGGGGGCTGGGGGACCCCCATCTATAGCTGGCAGCCCCCATTCTGTAACTGGGTGCCCAACCGCATCCTGGACGGTGCCCCCATCTCATCCCAGGTGCTCCCCCCTCCTAATTCCCCATCCCCTGCTTTTAAACTTTCATGCTGCCTGTACTGGGGACAGACGTGCATCCCACGAAAATGGTCCCAGTGCCCGGTCCTCACCCCTCCTTCCTGCCCCAGCTCCCCACGTAGTGCTCTCTAGTCTGATGGCCCCATGGCCCCCTGTAAGCCTGTTCCACCTGTTTCCCTAGCCCCCACTGATCTTGGGTAGGATCCCAGCTCTGCTACCAGGGGTTTGAACTCAGTTCTCGCTTGTCTGCGGTGTTCCGAGTTCTACGCCCTGTAGATTAGAACAAAGGTGGGTCGTGGTCACATAGGTGGGGTTTCAGGACCAGGGTTCAATGCTGGGTAGCATCAGTGTGAGCTCATCCTAGCTCCCTGCACACTCACACACGCGCGCGCGCGCACGCACACACGAGCTGCAAGCCAGGCAACCTCCAGAGCCAGAGCCTAGGAGTCAGCTCAAGGTCATGCTGCGTTTCAGGGCAGAACCTCCTTAGATGAACAGAATAAACATGTACAAAGAGAAAAGGTGATTAGTTGGCACATAAGGCCTAACTTCTTAGACACTGAGAGAGGACGGAGTTCCCTCCCCAACTTTCCAGCTGTTGCAGGAGACGCGGGTGCCCCTTACCCGGTCAGGAGGACGCCTGGGCTGCTGTCGGAGGCTCGCTGTGTTCCCCATGCCGGGGGTGGGCCACGCAGACGCAGGCAGGTTCTCCAGGCAGTCACCGCGGGAGGGGGTGGTCGGAGCCTGATCCCACCGCACAGCCCCCGTGGTGAAGCCCTCAGGGAGGCCAGCCAGTGACTGCAAAGGGCAGGCTTTGCCGCCAGCCCACAGCTCCGGATCGCGGGGAGCAAAGGGAAAGGAGAGGGGTCCACCCTGCCGGTGGGGGGCGGCACCTCCCCTACCCAGGCTGCCCCCCACTCCCTCCCTGACCTCGGACTGGCAGGGCTGCTGGACGCAAAGGCAGCCTGTTTCTCCCGTCGGGCGGACGGCCACTGTGCAGTCTTGCGGGCGGCCGTGCGACCAGAACCCGATGGGCGGGGCCCAGCAGCCAGACGCCGCCGTCGACGCCAGTTTCCTGCAAAGTCCCCCAGATGAGCTGGCAGAGAGCCCCCTCCTGGCTGAGGCTGGCATTACACCTCCAAATCTGGTTTTCAGCTCTTGGCCCCCCCGCCCCCCCCCCCCCGCCTACCTTGGCTGCAGCCCCTGGTGGTCTCCGAGTGCAGGACGCGGCAGCCCCTATGAGTGGGACCCCCCAGCCTTCTCCTTGCTGTTGCCTGCCTGCTCCCTGGGGCATCTGGCTTCCCACCTGGGCCTGGGGCTCCAAACCAGACCCCTGCTGGGGGAACCCAACTGACTGACCAGCCCCCCTCCCCTCAGTGCACGCAGAGACCGCGGTGTCTGTTTCCCTGGAGGGGCCCAGGACCCGACCCTGCGCCTTGCTACCGGCAGCTGCCCAGAGCGGACAGCCAGAGCGCAGGTGCCCTCAGTGCCCGGTGCACTGAGGACCCTCACCTGCCCCACGTCCCCAGCCCCCGGTCACTCGAGGCAGGCGCAGTGGAGCGAGTGCCCGGTAGGGGCCAACGTGCCGTGTTTCAGGGACATGAGAGGAGCCGCACCCGAACCCACCAACTGCCCCCACGGACCCCATTCCACGAGGCTGCAGACCATGCAGGCATCAACTTTAATATGCGGCTGACCTGTGAGGGGGCTGGGAGGGTCCCCTTTCTGTTCCAGGTGGGAGGGGGAGACGTCATCGGGATTGTCTAATACCGAGAGGAGCCGTCAGCCAGAGAGCCGCGACCACCCCCGACAGCATCCGCCCCGTTGGAGAGCCCCGGGGGCCCAGCAGGCTCCCAGGCGACGGGGGCCGCACCCCCCCGAGCAGGCCCGTCAGCACCTCCGGGAACCCCAGGGAGACCGCTGGCTCCCCAGGAATGTCCCTTTGCAGCGGGGCTGAGCTCCCGCTGGTGCCAAGGACCTGTCGGGGCTCGGCCGCCGTCAGCCCAGCAGGGGTGCGTCCACCCCGCCAGCCCAACACCGCCGAACGTCGACACAGAAGAGGGGGGTTTCCAGCCCCGAACCGATGGGGAGACTGGGCAGGTCAGGAAGCCAGGCCAAGGCAGGGACTCCCGAACTGAAGCCCCGGCCAGCCGACAGGAGCAGCAGGAAGTGAGGGAGGGGCGGGCAAGGAAGCCGGGTTCGACGCGCTCCCAAGAAGACAGCAAGCTGCGGAGAAGGCGGCCCGCGGAGCCTTGCAGGGCCGGGGACAGGAGCGTGGCCAGCACCAGGAGCCTTGGGCCTGCCTGTGGCCGCGTGGGAGCTGTAGCGTCAGAAGCTGCGTGTGGCTGGAGGGTCTGAACGTTGCCATTTAATCCAGAAACGAGAGCAAGGCCGCAGCGCCAGGGAAATGCTCCGCAGAGCCCTCCTGGTACCAAGCCCCGCGCGCCACGCTGCGCCGTCAGCACCTGACCGGCCTGGCCTGGCGCCAGCCTCCCGGGAACCGGGTCAGGGCTGGCCACGCACCCAAACTCTGTGGCCCCCAGGCTCTGGGGAGTCCCCGCCAGTCCCGTGAGAGGAGGCCGAGTTACGAGGCCGCCACCAGCTCCACCTGCCTGGGCTTGGCCTCGCGGGGGACTTTCTCTGTAGAGGAAAGAAAGCGGTGTTGGCCGAGGAGATCAGACCCGAGAAGCAGAAACTTCCAGAGAAGGAGGGGAGGTGGTAAGGAGCCAGGACCCAGGACAGCGTGCTCTGGACAGGGCCTGCGGGCCCGAGGTGCAGGCAGGGGGCCTGACGTGAGGGAGGGTCAGGGAGAGGGGCAGGAAGAACCGTGGAGGGACCACCAGCCACATGGGGCCCCAGCAGGGAGTGGCCCCACAGGGCCCTGCTGTCTAGAGGATGGCTTGTCGTGGGCTGGACATGGTCTTTTCCCAGCTCTGCTTGTGGGCTACACCTCTCTGAACGGGCTCAGGCTCGAGAAGGTCACCCCATCCTGGAGCCCCGGGCCCAACCCCAGAGCGAGGCCTGTGCTTACCTGCCCCGCTGGGGAGGTAGGAACCGACTTTCACCGAGTGGAAAGGGGGGAAGGGAAGACCTTGTGGCCCAGGCATTTTGCTTTGTTCTAGAACTCCCTGTTCTCCAAAGGACAGGACGAGAAGCGTACCTGGTTTCTTTTCGGGAAGGGGCTCTGAAGGAACCTCTGGGAGCTCTATCTGCTCCTACAAGAAACAGGGCAGAGGCTGCAGGAAGCCGTCGGGGCGGGAAGTCCCCCGCGCTGAAGCCCGCGCAGCAGCTGGCACTGCTGAGACCTCAGTCGCCCCAGGGGGCTTCCCAGGAGATCTCAGCTCCGAACCTGGCCGTGCACTTGGGCACACGTACGCGCACGGGCCCCAGAGCCACAGAGGCGCCCGCTGTGCTTGCTCGAGGGCAGGTCTGTGGTAGAGCTGCCTGCCCCCAGGGGCACCCCTCGTGGCTCGGGGCATTCGGGTCCTCGGGAGGAAGGACATCAGGAGGCAGTGCCCACGGGACGCCGAAGTGCAGAGAGCAGCGACACTAGCTAGTGCTCCTCCCTCGGGTACGGGGAGCGGCAGGCGGGGGGCACGGGGAGAATGCGGCGCCCCGAGGCGGTGGCCCAGAGACGGAGACCGCTCGGTCAGGGAGCAGACACAGGCCTCAGGCCTGCGTGAGACGACGTCAGCGGCGTCCAGGGTTACGTATGCAGGCCCCGCACACGACAGCGAGCGACTGGGCCACGACGGGAAAGGCCCCCCCGAGATCACAAAACCATACTCTGTCCTCTGGAGGGGCCGACGGAGCCGGAGGTCAGCATCTCTGCGCTGTCCCGGCCGCCGGGCTCCGGGCAGCCCCGGCCTCCAGCAACCTCCTCGGGTGGGCAGTGCACGAAACCGTCTCCCCGGGCCGGCTTCTCCCTGCGGCCAGCCAGGCCCGCGAGGAGACGGGCCTCGGTGCAGCCCAAATGCTAGTCGTTTCAGGAGCACCGGCCGCAACGACAGGACTGTGCTCCCCAAGACCAGTGACCACCACGGGCAGAAGCCGCCTGGGGTCCCGCCGCCCGACGGACGGCGCCGGCTCCGGGAGGTCCCGTTACCTGAGTGATCGCGTTCAGCTCCTCCAAGATGGCGTCTTCATCCTCCTGAGTGAAGCTTCCGGCCAAGAGCTCGTCTATTTGCTGCGAGAGGAGACGCAGAGGTGAGGACCGGGGCCAGGCTGGGGAAGGAGACCGCCCGTGGCTCAAGCCCCCCGTTGAGAAAAGCTGACCACCACCGGCACGGGCAGGCGCGGCCCTCGAGCGCGGCCGCTGGGCACTCGCAGGCGGCAGGTGGCCCCGTGGCCCGGCAGCACCTACCCGCTGGTACTCCACGGCCTCCTGGGTCTCCTCCAGTATCCGCTCCACTTCCTCTATGGACATCACCTAATCGGTTCGGAGGGAGTCTCGTCAGCGAGGCCCTGGCAGAAGCCCCGGCGGTAAGGCCACCCGGACCGGGGGGCACCAGCCAGGCTGTGCGCAACACGACACGGTTCCGGTTGTCTCTGCCGTGGGCTGGGCCCATGCAGAGACTCCGGAGCTCGGCCCCCACTGCTCTGCTCAGACGCCTGCCAGCCCTTCGCCCCAGACCTCCGGCACCTCAACCAGCCCAGGAGGTCGAGGCAGAAACAAGCAAAAAGGTGTCAGAAGCTTCCTCAGAGCGGCCGACTTGATCTCGTCTGGGTTCGAAGACGAGCCTCTGCTGGACCCGCAGGTACACACTGGACGGATGGGTGGAGCAGCTGGTGGCTGGGGTGCTCTGTGTGGCCCCTGCTGTCCCCTCACCAGGAGATCAGGGCAGGCTGGGGCACAGCCTCTCCCCTCCTTTTGCCACCACCTCTATGCCGCCTCCTGTGACGAGGCTGTATTCACCTCGTCCAGGAAGCCCTCCCAGTGAGCCCACCACACCCTCCGTGCACCCTCACCGGACTACTCTTCCAGTCACATAAGCATCTGTGGACCCAATTTCTAGTCTGTGCCCATCACCGCACTCTCAGGTCAATACCCGGAGTGTGTCGGCCACCATCGCCGCCTCCTGGTAGCACTGGCTTTCCCACGTTCCCGGCTGGCACCAGCTGCTCCCAGCCCATGGCCTGGGCATAGGTGTGGCCTGGGGCACAAGCCCGTCCCCTCGTTCACCCAGCTCCCCTTCCTTTCTGCCCCCGGCCTTGCCAGGACCCACCTGGTGCATCTTTTTCAGACATTCGTTTCCAATCTGCAGCCCCTCGACCACCTTCATCTCAATCTGGGTGAACTCGATGCTCTGGACCTGGGGAGGATGTCGAGGCAGACCCAGTGGTCAGGTGTCTGCCCTCCCCCACCCCCGCCCCGCCGCTCGCTGCACCGACCATCGTCTCCAGGCTGGTGATCTGGTTTTCTGTCTTGTCCAGAAGCTGCTCCCGGTACCGCTTCTTCTTGAGCAGCAGCTTGGCCCGTCTGCAGAGGGAACCCGCTCGGTGACCCAGTGGCCGGCATGCCTGTTGGTGGCCTTGCCAGGCGTGGACTGGCCTCCTGGGCCCACCCCCCCACCCCCAGCTGCAGACCCACGGGGGACCGAAGCCCCTTCTTGCCCGGCCTGCCCGGGGCCCCACTCACTCCTTCTTCCCGTCCCGCAGGAGCTGCCTGGCGACCTCGCGCTCGCGCTCCAGCTGCTGCGTGATCCTCTTCTGGTACTGCTTCAGCTTGTCCCGCTGCTGCTTCAGTTGCTGCGAGAGCGCAGGCCTGGGTCGGCACATGCCCTCGCTGTGCCGGGCCCTGCGCCCGCCCCTGCGCCCACCACGCGGCACCCTCGCGGCCGCCCCTGCGGCACACCCTCTAACACAGAGTTCTCCGTGGGGACAAAGGGCACATGGGGCAAGGGCTGGCGACATTTATGGCTGTCACCACTGGGGGGGGGGCATGCTCCTGGCACCATGGGGTGGAGGCCAGGGGTGCTGCCCGGCATCCTGCAAGGCCCAGGACACCCAGGACACAGAGAGGGGCAGCCAGCCCCAGGGTCCACGGCACTGAGATGGAGAGCCTGTTCTCAGTGGCGTCACTGCACAGCATGGCTGTGGGTGCTGGGGAGGGGGCAGGTCAGAGCGCCGCCACTGCCTCCAGGGTTCAGAGACAACCCAGAAGGGCCCCCGCAAGCCACCGGCCCACCCAGCCACAGCGAGGGTTTGGGGCCTTGCAGCCCGGCTCTGCAGGCTTCAGACTGGTTCCCGACGTGTGCAGCCCCCCGCCTCTGCCGCTCATCACCGTGCCTTTGCTGACAGCCGCCGCCACGTTCCAGTGAAGTGTTTGCGTGATCGTGCCAAGCAGCTGGGACCCCGGGTGCTGTCCCAGAAGGGCCGGGGGGGGCGGTGGGGGGCATTTACCGTGTCAGTCAATCCTGCCCTAGTCTAGACCACTCACATTTCTTTCAAATTTCGCCATTTCAGAGGACGCTACAGTGAGCGCGTGCGGGCACAGGGCATTTCTCCTATGTGGCCTTCGATCTTTAGGAACGATTGCCCTGAGTTAATCAAGTTAATTAAGTGAAAAGGTCGGTACACCTGTAAGACTCGGTGTAAGGAGAAATCCTCCGCCAGTGTAGACGTGTCTGCAGGGACCCGCTTCACGGCTCTCTCCACAGCATGCCTCCTCAGCACCTGCCCAGGGCGCCACATGGCCGGTGGGGCGGGCTGGGTGCCGGCTGCGTAGTCTCCTTGCCGCAGTGGCAGGAGCCCACTCTCCCGGCAGACACGGTGGCCAGCCTACGTGCCCTCGTCTCCGCTCTGGCCGCCGATCCTCCCCGGAGCTGGGCACCCACCCCCGCCCAGGGCCACTGTCCCAGCCGGGTGCGTGCCGAGCACCGAAGACCAGCCGCAGGACGCAGGTGCTTAGGGAAACCAGACGCAGCGGCGGAGGGTCACGGGGCAGACGGCGCCCGGGCCGGGAGTTCCCAGCTTTACATCCGAGGGACCGGCCAGTCGTCGGGTTTATTGTGCGCGGACCGCGCTGCTCGGTCTGGGCCCGCCCAACAGGGCTCCCTGCCAGGACAAGGGCCTCCTTGAAGAGAAGCCCAGAGGTGGGTCCTTGGAAGGAGGAGAGAACCGCGGGGGCTGCCCGCGGGTGGTGTCCGCCAGGCGCGCCCCCGCCTCCGCAGAGCCCAGCGCGCGCCCCCGGGCAGCACCCCCGCTCCTAGGGTTTCCTCCGGGGACACCCGTGCCAGACGCGGCTCCATCTGGGGAGCCTCAGTCGAGGACCTTTAGGACAGGAGGTCCCTGCAGCCAGCGCGAGGCCGCCTGAGACTGAGCCCGTTTCTCTCTCAGACCCGACGCCGGGCCGCCCGCCGGGCTGGCAGGAGCGCGAGCGAGGGTACGCGGGGCGGAGGTCCGCGGCCACCCCTCTTGGCGCTTCCGACCCGCCGTCCCTCCTAGGCCATCCTGCGTCCGGGCCGCAGAGACCGAGTGCGCCGCGGGGCAGCCGGGGTCCGCGCGGTCCGCTCGGGGTCCGCACGCCCGCACCGCGGGCCACCGTGTGCGGGGCTGGCAGCGCGGCGCTTCCGCGGGGCTCCGGGGCTCCGAGGCTCCGGGGCGCCCGACCACCCGGCGGGACCGGCCCCCCTCCCGGGCCGCGGCGCCTGCCCCCTGCAGCGCGCGCTCGCTCGCGGACCGGGAGCGGCTGCGACGCCGCGCGACTCTCCGCGCCGCCTCGACCCCGCGGCCCCGTCCCGCCTTCGCCCGGGTCGTCCGGCGCCGCCACCCGCGGCCAGAAGCCCGCCCCGCGGAGCGGCAGGCCCTCCCGGGAGCCGCGCAGCCCTGCCTAGCTGTCCCCCGCCGTCGCCGCGGGGCCCGGCTCTCACCAGGACGGCCTTGTCTTGCTCGGTGACCCGGCTCTGCTTCTTGCGGCCGAACAGGTTGCCCATGGCGCCCCGGCCCGCGGCCCCGCCCGCCGCGCCCCCTCGCCGCCCGCGCGGCCTCCGTACCGAAGCCCCGCCCCCGACGGCGGCCGCGCGGGGCCCGGCGCCGCAGAAGGCGAACGCGCGCGGGCGGGCGGCCGGCGGTCCAGGGATTCGGATGCGCCCTCGCCGGACACGGCGACCGCGGCTCGAGGACGCTGCCGGTCGGGCCTGCGCAGTCCTAAATGCCGCATTTCGCGTGCTCTCCGGAGTGCCCTCCCGCTGCAGATTAAGACTCAAAGTTGCCGTCTCCCGTGTAGGGGGTCCTTGCGAGGTAGCCGGGGGCCGGAAGCCTTGTCCGCGAGCCCCTGCGCCCCGGCGGGTGCGGGCCACGAAGTGTCGCGCTCAGTGATCCTGTGTCCGGCCTGCGGGCTTCCAGGTGTGTGCGACGGCTACCGGGCCGGCCGCCGGGCCTGCGCCCTGCTCACCGTGGGTCCGCCCGGCCTGCGGCCCAGCCCCAGGGACGAGGGCCCGCCTGGGGCTCCGCGGTGCGCAGCCGCTCGCCCGCCGCCCCGGCCCCCAGCTGTGTGTCCTGGCCGTGCGCGCTAGGTTCGGGGGGCGCACGGCCTCTCCCGGGACAGCACCCAGCCCTGCTGGTTCACCCAGCCCGTCCTGTAACGGAGTCTGCCCTGGGCCAGGCCCGGTCCTAACAGCCCAGAGGCTCACGGGAGGGGCGCGGGGGTGCTGAGATGAGCCCCTTGCCTCACCTCTTCGGTCGGACGCCGTGTCGAGTGGGCACCGGGCTGGCCGGCTTCCACGGGGGTGCGCTGGCAGGAAGCCCTGCAGGTGGGAAGGGAGGTCCGTACCCAGAGGAAGTGTCTATGCAGTGAGGACAAGTCCACTGCCTCATGACGGAAACATCGGAATAGCCGGCTGGTGTGGCTGGCCGGTACCCCCAGGACGTGGTGCTCTTCTGGGGGCTCAGCGCTGCTGAGCAGCTGGGCACTCCGCACTTGTGGGGAGCAGGCGGGCCTTGGCTGGGGGAAGTCTGTGTTGCTGAGCCCACAGCCTCTACTCCAGCTGCCATGGCCACTTTGTGAGCGCTGGGAGGCGGGGGGAAACCCTCCATGGTGGTGACTCACGTCAAGTTTGGCCACAAGGCCTGGAGTTCTATTTCTGTTCCACAAGATGAGCCCCAGTCTAGGTGGCCACCCGGGTACTTCATTCTGGACACCCTGATTAGCCAGAGATCCCTGCGAGAGAGCGTGCTGCGTATCCCTGTGTTCCAGCCGCCTGCTGGGGTAAGGTCCAGCCTTGGTGGGAGGCGGCATGTCACACTGAGACCGTGCGGCCTGCTTGGGGCAGAGGAAGGGTCCAGAGGCCGAGAGCCAGAGCTGGGCTGCAGGAGAGACCACCCCTTGGCCAGGAAGCTCACTGGGGGGCACACTGGGGCTACAGCAACTGCCCGTCAGGGCTGAGAATCTTGCTGTGCACAGGACAGGCTGCGGGAGGCCCGCCCAAAGCAGCTGCAGGTGGAGGAGAAACTCACTGAGGGGCCTTGCACCCGCCGGCCCCCTGGCCTTGCACCGCAGGAAGAGAGAAGCAGCTGGCGCCAGGAAGGGAGCCCCTTCCTCTGCCTGGCAGCCCTGTTGCTCCAGAGCTCCGGTGAGGAAGCCCCCAGCCAGCGAGCCGGCCAAGGAGAAGCATCTGCAGGTCGGGCTCCCGCATCACGAGCCGGCCAAGGAGAGTGAGTCCCCGCCCAGCCCTTACTACTGCGGCAGTGGCACTCCTGGACTCCCGAGATCAGGTCCTAAAAGCTGACACGGCCAGTGGAACTCAGCCACCCAGTCGGCCCGCAGCGCCCCCTGCCCTGGGAGGGACTGGCAGGCAGCGGCCCGCGCCAGCTACTCGGGCACCGGCTTTCACAGGCCGGCTCTGTCCCCACGGGCGGGGCCACGCTAGCTGACGTCACGGGGAACAGGGATGCGCCTTCCCTGTGGACTCAGCCAAACCTGCAGATTCCTGAACAAGACCGACGTGGCCGCTGTTCCATAGCAGCAGGGCAGCGGAAGGACGGGGTAGGCACTGTGGGCAGGCCGGGCACTTGCAGCGTGGACTTCCTGGAAGCCTGCAGCGTGGCCCCCCAGTCATGGAACCAGCTGGGGCTGGGGGCCAGTGAGAGGTCAGACTGTTAGGTGCGTGGCGTCAGATCTCTCCTCGCCCATCTGGGTTATTTTTTCACTGATCGTGTGTGCTTTCCCATGACGTCCATTTTGTTCAGGCCTAGGGGCACCTGACCCAACTGTCAAGTCCAAGACCAAAGCCAGAGAGCCCAGCACTGTCCCTCGTGACGGCTGCTCCCACAGCCCTGCTCGCCTGACCTCTGGGCCTGCCCCCTCGGGTGCCCAGGGGAAACCAGCACTCCCACCATCATTCCTGGCCCACAGAGGGCTTTTCGAGAATATGTGGTCCTCACCAAGGGCTTTCGCCAGGCCTCTGTCGGGGCAGTGTGGTTTGGGGACACAGCGAGGCTCTCGGTGAGCGGCCGCACCTGACAACTCACAGCGGGTCCTTATCTCCCAAAGCTCCTGGACTCTTCCCTCCGTATCACACCAAGGGACTTTTGGCTCAGCTCAGCTGTGCCAAGTCCAAGCTTCCAGCAACAAAGGACCAAACTGGGCCTCTGTGGCTCTCGGTGCGAGTCAGCAAAATCTTGGTGTTCGTGGGGTGGGGCCCGGAGGAGAATCAGCCTCCCCTTAGCCAGCGACTGCCTCGGTGTGGTCTGCACGGAAGGGGGTGTCTCAGGGAGGAGGGTCACCTGTGCTGGCGGGCCAGGCTCTTTATGGGATGAGCTTGGGTCCTTCCCCTCCACTGTCTTCGTGCTGCTCCGATCTGGACCTGGGAGGACGGAGACCCCGCTGTGTGTTGGAGTCCTGCCAGCCCCAGGCTGAAGCTGGGGGCATGATTTCCTGATACAGCAGTGCTGCCACAAGAAACCAGATCTCTTATAGCAGCCCAATAGACTTTCCAATTTTCTGGTTCTACCCTGGAACTGAGAACTTAAAGCTTGTCTTATAAATGTAATGTTCGCGGGGGAAGTCTGAAATTGCCGTCCTGCCCTTCTGACCTCCTTTTCTCTTAATTACCTCTGTCGAGACCCTACGTCCTAATTACATCACATTCAGAGGAACTGTGGGTTGGGAATTCAGTACCTGAATTTTGAGGGGACAAGGTTCAACCCACCACACACGAATGAGATCATCACTTCCTATCACCTGTCCTGGACTTCTGCCTCCCAGGCTCTCTCCTGGAGCGACTTGTGACACGGGCGACTGCATCACCCGCCTTCACTCGGGGCAGCTCTCTGGGCATTTCAAGGCTAAGTGTTTAGTACAGAGGTTCGTTGCCTCTAAACCGCGGACGGGCAGGAATGAAGGGAAGGCCGCACCACTGGATCCTGGGCCGGGGGGCACAGAGACTGCAGCTTGCGAGAAGCGGGTCCTGTCAGTGACCGCGGCCTCCTGCCCTGGGCGTGCTGCCCCATCTCACCTGCCAGAACCCCCCAGGTGGCCTGTGACTGCTGGGCGGGGGGCGGGGGGGTGTGCTCAGGAGACTCCTCCTGTGGGTGGACAGTAGCCCGGGACCCCGACGTGGCTTCCAGGGACGGTGTCAGTGGGGAGGTGCCGTTTGGGGTGGCCGTTCCATGACGCGCAGACCCAGGGGACGTTGGTATGAAAACATGGCCCTCGGGCGGGCCACCATCGACAGAGCCGCTGGCGGCTGGTAGGGTGCTGGCGGCCCCCATGGAGTGACCCCCAGCCTTGTGGTGCAGATGACGTAAGCTGCACGTGAGGCACCTGGGAGTTGGCTGTCGAGGACCAGCGCGGGAAGCCGCTGCCTCTGTCCACCTGCTCTCCACCTCCAAGTCCTGGCTCCCCGACACGAGCTCTGATTGGCTTCCCTCCCTGGGCCAATCGGCTGTGGCCGTGGGGGGTAGGGGGGCTGATTGGTTGAGCCGAGTGCCGTGCCCTCAGCTGAGCCAATCCGCAGAGGGGAGGGCGGGGCCCACAGGAGGCAGGCGCGCCCACTCACGTACACCGAGCAGAGGGAGTTGCCTCCCGGAGCTGATGCCAGGTGTCCCTGGACGCCAGCCGTCCCCGGACGCCAGCCGTCCCCCGATGCCAGGTGTCCCCGGACGCCAGCCGTCCCCGGACGCCAGGTGTCCCCGGACGCCAGGTGTCCCCCGACGCCAGCCGTCCCCGGACGCCAGCCGTCCCCCGATGCCAGGTGTCCCCGGACGCCAGCCGTCCCCGGACGCCAGGTGTCCCCCGACGCCAGCCGTCCCCGGACGCCAGGTGTCCCCCGATGCCAGGTGTCCCCGGACGCCAGCCGTCCCCGGACGCCAGGTGTCCCCCGACGCCAGCCGTCCCCGGACGCCAGGTGTCCCCGGACGCCAGCCGTCCCCCGATGCCAGGTGTCCCCGGACGCCAGGTGTCCCCGGACGCCAGCCGTCCCCGGACGCCAGGTGTCCCCCGACGCCAGCCGTCCCCGGACGCCAGGTGTCCCCGGACGCCAG